GGATGGGAAGTGACTAGGAAGGTGGGGTGACAGGACGGCCAGGTGTGTATGCCTGTATGCAGTAAGAGATCAATACACCACAGAGAGAGAGAGTTTTTAAGAGATGAGATCTTGTAACATTACCTAGGCCTGTCTCGAACTCCTGGCCTCAAGTGATCCTTCCTCCTCAGCCTCCCAAAGTGTTGGAATGACAGCCTTAAGGCACCATGCCCGACCAGTGATGTATTTTATGAATCCTGTTAACAAAACGGTGAGCCTGGGCTTCAAGAGCTCTTGCAAAATGGACTGGAAATTCATGAGGAAAGCTCAGAAAAGCAGTCCCTCAGCCACAGGATCTGTGGCAGCGTGGCAGGGTGGCTGCGTTTGTGGCCTGAGCTCCTCCAGGCGTTCAAACAGACACTCAGGAAAGCCTGGCTCCTGGGCTTCACCTCTGGCCCAGTTTCGGTGGCGAGCAGTTCCTGGCAGCCTCTTGGTGGGTCACGTGGCCCGGGGCCTCAGGTGACAGTGACATGCCCAGATAAAGGCCCTGGCAGGGCACCTCTGGGAGGCCTCCCTGTGCCCGCCCACCCCGGCGGGAAGGAGAGGGAGGTGTCACAGGAGCTACAAATGCCTGCCAGTCGCCAAGCAGTCTCAGATCCCAGGGTATTGATTAGCAACGCCACTGCCACACGGTGCGTGACCCCATTTACATGAAGTGCCCAGGACACGCCAATCCCAGGGACAGGAAGGGGAGGCGTGGGTGCCAGGGGCTGGGGGAGGTGGATGGGGATGACTGTGGCTGCTGGGGACGGATTTACTTTTGGGGTAATGGAATGTTCTGGAATTTGATAGAGGCGGTATTTGCAAAACATTGTGAAGGTACTGAGTACTGCAGAATGTACTCTTCAAAATGGTTAATTTTAGCTGGGCGCGGTGGCTCATGCCTGTAATCCCAGCACTTTGGAAGGCCGAGGCGGGCGGATCACAAGGTCAAGAGATCAAGACCATCCTGACTAACACAGTGTAACCCCGTCTCTACTAAAAATACAAAAAAAAAAATTAGCCGGGCGTGGTGGTGGCGCCTGTAGTCCCAGCTACTCAGGAGGCTGAGGCAGGAGAAAGGCATGAACCTGGGAGGCGGAGCTTGCAGTGAGCTGAGATCGCATCACTGCACTCCAGCCTCGGTGACAGAGTGAGACTCCGTCTCAAAAAAAAAAAAAAAAAAAAAAAGGTTAATTTTATGTTAAGTGACTCTCACCTTGATTTATTAAAAAAGTATTTGTCGTGGCTCACTACTGTAATCCCAGCACTTTAGGAGGCCAAGGTGGGAGGATCGCTTGAGACCAGGAGCAGGAGTTCAAGACCAGCCTGGGCAACCTTGTGAGACCTCCGCCTCCTTGCCCCCCCACCGTCTGTACTAAAAAATAAAAACTATTAGCTGGGTGCGGTGGTGTGCTTCTGTAGTACCAGCTACTTGGGAGGCTGAGGCAGGAGGATCCATCCCTTGAGCCCAGGAGGTTGAGGCTGCAGCGAGCTGTGATTGCACCACTGCACTCTAGCCTGGGCAACAGAGGAAAACCCTGATTTAAAAAAAAAAAAAAAATGCTGGGCACAATAGCTCACACCTGTAATCCTAGCACTTTGGGAAGCCAAAGCGGAAGAACCATTTGAGGACAGGAGTTCGAGACCAGCCTGGCCAACATGGCGAAACACTGTCCCTGCTTAATACAAAAATTAGCCAGGCATGGTGGCAGGCATCTGTAATCCCAGCTACTCGGGAGGCTGAGGCAAGAGAATTGCTTGAACCTAGGAGGCAGAGGTTGCAATGAGCTGAAATTGTGCCACTGCACTCCAGCCTGGGCGACAAAGTGAGACTCAAAAAAAAAAAAAAAAAAGTAATAATGATAATAAAAAGAAAGTGCCCAAATGATGAAGCCTTTAATTTAGTCCTGGGTTTTTCTGAAACACTGGTAGCAGCTGATCCGGCCCTCGGGCCCCTCTCTGGCTGCCCCAGCTCTGCCTGCCCCAGGCCTTGGTCCCCATGGGTCACTCTGCCAGGGACACCCCTCCTCCTGCTGGCTTGGCTGACAGCTGCTTGTGTATTGGTTCTCTGATCAGAAAGGTCCCTTCCTCCTGGTTCCCAGGAAGGCCCCATGTCCCTGGGTTGAGCCCGCCCCTTGGGCTGGGAGTGGCCTGAGGGACTGGACTCCCCGTGCCCCAAAATGCATGAAGGAGTGAGGTTTTCTTCTCTGTGTTTTTGGTGGGGGGTTCGGAGTCTGTTGCCCAGGCTGGAGTGCAGTGGCACGATCTCTGCTCACTGAAACCTCCGCCCCCCCGAGTTCAAGCGATTCTCCTGGCTCAGCCTCCCGAGTAGCTGGGATTACAGACACGCACCACCATGCCCGGCTAATTTTAGTATTTTTAGTAGAGATGGGGTTTTGCCACGCTGTCCAGGCTGGCCTCAAACTCCTGACCTCAAGTGATCCACCTGCCTCGGCCTTCCAAAGTGCTGGGATTACAGGCGTGAGCCACCGAGCCTGAGCGTGAATGAAATGTTCAAGAAGCCTCTCAGGGTAATCAGAGACTCCGTGCAGTGGGATAAAGGAGGGGGCTGTCACCTCCAAACTGGGAGTGGCTCCCCAGGATCCCAGCACCAGCTCCACCCTCTTTATCCCCTCCATCCACCCACGAAGACCCCACCTTTTCCCCTAAACGGCACCTGCTGACATAAGCACCTCTCCCGAACCAGCCCCTCCAGGAAGGGCCCCTGGTCTGACGTCACAGGACAGAGGGTGATATGGCCAGGTGACCTCACACCTGCCAGTTCTCTCCGTCCGCCCAGCGGGGACATTGCGCAGTGGCCATGTCATACCCACCTTGATGTCTGTGTCACCAGCACGTCCCAAAGTCTCAGGCATGGACGATGGTGCAACTCCTCTTGCACCTGGAGTTGGAGGTCCAACTCCAACCCTTCAAGAAGCACAGTCCCCCAGTTCTCCGCAGTCATCAGAGGGCCACAGGTCCCCCCAGCTGTGGGATGGGGTGACTGTAGCTATAGGGCTCAGGATCAGGCGTCAGAACCCTCACTCACTGCCTGTGTGACCCTGGGGGAGCCATGTCATCGTTTTGTGCCTCAGTTTCCCTCTCAGTAACATGGCAACTGTACTAGGTTGGCAGCGGCTATTATTATTATTATTCTTATTATTTTGAGACTGAGTCTCACTCTGTTGCCCAGGCTGGAGTGCAGTGGCACGATCTCAGCTCACTGCAGCCTCTGCCTCCTGGGTTCAGGTGATTCTCCTGCCTCAGCCTCCCGAGTAGCTTGGACTACAGGCGCCCGCCACCGCAACCGGCTAATTTTTGTATTTTTGGTAGAGACGAGTGTTTCACCATGTTGACCAGGCTGGTCTGGAACTCCTGACCTCAGGTGATCTTCCTGCCTCCGCCTCCCAATGTGCTGGGATTACAGGCATGAGCCACTGGGCCCTGCCTGTTACTAGTATTGAAAAGGAACAAACCTCCCTTCTCAGTGATAATTTCTTTATTCCACATAAAAATCCCCCCAAAGCTCACGGAGACGATGCCTTAACCTCACGACCGTCATCAATCATAATGATCATTTCTGTTCTGAAAAACCGCAAAACTCATCGTTCGAAGGATGGGCGTGGTGGCCAGGACTTTGGGGGAGGGCTTATGATTGACGCATCCCACGTGTCACCAGAGGGAAACCCAGCGTCCTTTTACGAGGAGGGGTAGGGGTCCATCGCATTTTGGCCAAAACCACACCCCCCACCCTGATACCAATCCGTCTCAAAGCCCATCTGTGGGTGGTGCAGTTTGCAGCCCAGCTGGGAACGGTGGGCCCGGCTGTTCCACCTCGGCATGCCTGCCGACAGCTGGCCTCGCCGGGGGTCTCCGTTGCTCTGGAGGATCCACTGGGGCTGAGTTGGGGTCTTCAGTTTCGCCTGCCTGTTGTCTGTGGCTGCTGGTGATCCAAAGGGGCGTGGGTGAGCCACGGCATGACGGGCAGTACCCCCCGGAGGTTCTGGTGGGGGCAGAATGTTCAGCCGGCAGGCACCGTCTGGGTCAGGTCCAGCCTCACTTGGCACTTGGCTGCTGCTGTAGACACTCAATTATTCGGTGTCCGATTGGGTGGAACAAGTTCTTTCCTGTCCCTGTCTCCTGTCCGTGACTTGGAAGCGGCCCCCCCGCCCCGGCCCCGCAGTCTTCCATGAAGATTAAGGCCCAGGAGTTCTTGTCACTGTCGGGTTAGAACGATTCATGCCGGAGCCACGTGCCTTTGGTCACCGGGGACACATCGTGGCAGCTGGGCCCGGCTGGCATCTCTCTACTGGAGCCTCTCTCCTCAGGGCAGTCTGATAAGCAGGCTTCTTTTTTTTTTGAGTCAGAGTCTCGCTCTGTCTCCTAGGCTGGAATACAGTGGCACAATCTGGGCTCACTGCAAGCTCCGCCTCCCGGGTTCCAGCGATTCTCCTGTCTCAGCCTCCCGAGTAGCTGGGATTACAGGCGCCGCCACCACACCCAGCTAATTTTTGTATTTTTAGGAGAGACGGGGTTTCACCATGTTGGCCAAGCTGGTCTCAAACTCCTGACCTCAGGTGATCTGCTTGTGTTGGTCTCCCAAAGTGCTGCGATTATAGGCGTGAGCCACCATGCCCGGCCACTTCTGTTATCTTGTGTTGGCTTTGGCAGTGGCACCATTCACTGGGGTGGGAATTTGGGACAGGGTCTCGCTCTGTCACCCACGCTGGAGTGCAGTGACTCGATCTCGGCTCACTGCAGCCTCCACCTCCTGCGCTCAAGCAATTCTCCCGCCTTAGCCTCCCAAGTAGCTGGGATGACAGGTGCACTCCAACATGTCCAGCTAATTTTGATTTTTTTTTTTTTTGTAGCCATGGGGTCTTGCTCTACTGCCCAGGCTGGTCTCCCAAACTGCTGGGTTACAGATGTGAGCCACCGCACCTGGCTGAGTTTGGGACCTTCTGAGCCATGCACGGATCTCAGTTCTGCAGGGCCGGCTCCAGAGCCTGGAACTTGGGCAGATTCTCAGAACACCTTTTATAAAACGAGGCGCCCTGAGCAGGCGCAGGGGAGAGGCAGGCCCAGGGCAGCAGGGTCTGCTGGAAAGTAGTCGGGAGAGGCCCATCCATCAGCCTCTGCTTCTCAGGCTCCACGTGACACAGCTGGTTCCAGGACATGATTTTTTTTTTCTTTTTCTTCTTCTTCTTTTTTTTTTTTTTTTTTTTTGAGATGGAATCTTGTTCTGTCGCCCAGGCTGGAGTGCAGTGGCTCGATCTCAGCTCACTGCAACCTCCACCTACCGGGTTCAAGTGATTCTCCTGCCTCAGCCTCCCAAGTAGCTGGGATTGCAGGCATGCGCCACCACGCCTGGCTAATTTTTGTATTTTCAGTAGAGACGGGGTTTCACCATGTTGGCCAGGCTGGTCTCAAACTCCTGACCTCAAATGATCCACCCACCTCGGCCTCCCAAAGTGCTCGGATGACAGGTGTGAGCCCCTGCGCCCGGCCGAGATTTGACATTTGGGAAACAAATGTTAAAACCCTACCACGTCCCTAAATGTTCCAGCCTCTCCAGGGCAATGCTGAGACCCAGAGTTGTCCCATCATAGCTGGAGGCTCCATGGGAACCTGCAGGCCTAAGCCCGCTCAGAAACCCCACCTTCCTCATGGCAGAATTGGGGGCGGGACTTGCGCAGGACCCTGTCCCACAGGGCAAATTTTTCTGTACCGCTGCCTCTCAGCACTAAGTACCACCAGTTCCCTGCCATCGTTGTTGGAATAACCCAGAATGCACTTCCTTGCTGTCTCAGGTCGAGATGCACTGGATGCTTTCACTGAGGCTCAGTCAATTGTGGGTCTGGTTGGCCCAGCCTGGACAGCACTTGCTGAGAGGCCGATCACAGAGCCAGGAAGAAGGGCCTGGAGAATGTGCCCATTCTACTCGCCATCTGCTCAGGTCGATAGACATGAAGGCATTTACGATTAGAGGGAACTTCGTGAGCAACTCTGCAAACACTGTCCATTCTTTTCTTTTCTTTTTATTTTGAGACAGAGTTTTGCTCTTTTTGCCCAGGCTGGAGTGCAGCGGCGTGATCTCGGCTCACTGCAACCTCCGCCTCCTGGGTTCAAAGGAAGAAGGGCCTGGAGAATGTGCCCATTCTACTTTCGCCATCTGCTCAGGCCTCATAGACATGAAGGCATTTACGACAGAGGGAACCCTCGTGAGCAACTCCCCCTTGCAAACACTGGGTCCATTCTTTTTCTTTTTCTTTTTTTATTTTGAGACAGAGTTTTGTTTTGCCCAGGCTGGAGTGCAGGCGGCGTGATCTCGGCTCACTGCAACCTCCGCCTCCTGGGTTCAAAACACCTCCTGCCTCAGCCTCCTGAGTAGCTGGGATTATAGGCATGCACCATCACGCCTGGCTAATTTTTTTTTTTTTTTTTTTTTTTAGAGACGGGGTTTCACCATGTTGACCAGACTGGTCTCGAACTCCTGACCTCAGGTGATCCATCCACCTCAGCCTCCCAGAGTGCTGGGATTACAGGCATGAGCCACTGTGCCCTGACTAGTTTTTTTTTTTTTTTGAGACAGTCTTGCTGTGTCACTCAGGCTGGAGTGCAGTGGCACAATCCTGGCTCACTGCAACCTCTGCCTCTCAGGTTTAAGTGATTCTCGTGCCTTAGCCTCCCAAGTAGCTGAGATTACAGACACCTGCCACCACGCCTGGCTAATTTTTGTATTTTTAGTAGAGATGAGGTTTCACCATGTTGGCCAGGCTGGTCTCGAACTCCTGACTTCAGGGCATCCGCCCACCTCGCCCCTCCCAAACTGCCAAGGCAGGATTACAGGCGTGACACCGCATAGCCTGGCCTAGCCTTTTCTTAAATGCTTCCAGAGACAGGGAGCTCACTGCTTCTAGAGTCCTTTCACTATGACCGGCATTTGGACCACATTAGAAAAGTCTGTCTTCTTTTTCTAAGGGAAATTTGCCTCCCGAACAAGAACCTGCTGATACCCTGTATCTTCCTTTTGCTAGGTCTATTTCAGAGCCAGCCCCAGCCTGCTGTTCCAACCCGGAACAGCGCCGGTGTGTCCCAGCCTGATGCCGGGGTTGGGGAGCAGTGAGGCTCACATATCTCATTCCTTGTGGGAGGTATTGACTGGGTTTGCCCTGTGGCTTGGCATCTGAGTAAAGGGCTTGAGAGAATGTTCTAGATTACCAGGTGTCATTTGCAATCAGGAGGACAAGGACGGTTGGCAGCAGCTCTTCTTGTGCAATGGGCTCTGATCCTCTCAAAGGAGCTGTGGGTGTCATTAAGTGAGCGAGAAGGGGGCAGGTCAAATGAAAAAACCACGCGTGGTGAATTTTGGGACGAAGGTCGGGAGGGGGCCAGGAGGTACCTCAGACGTGGCCTCCTGAGGGGTTGAGCGAGGTCCGGGGGCCATGTCTGGGAAAAAAAAAAAAAAAAAGGCACAGAGGACGCAGACCTGTGCCAGGGTGGTGGTGGTGTCGTGGCTCCAACCCAGAGCGGGTGATGGCGCAAGAGAAGAGTCTTGAATCTTGTATCCAGCTCTGACTACTGCGGTTGCGAGCAGAAGCGAGGCCACCGACGCCCACGGCACCCCCTGCGCTTCTTGCCTCTCTGCTGAGAGCTTCCAGAGTGGAAGGGTGAGGGGCTCAGAGCTGGGCTCTTTTCTGGAACGCACGAATACTGCATCGTTAAAAAAAAATACAATGTTTTCAAGCAGCTGAAAATATGCTGGGTTTCAGAGATGAACGGAGTGGGTTGGCACCCTTGGAAGACTGGGACTCAGGATGAGGCATAGTGATGGAGATCTGGGGCCAGTGGGCGTCTGACAGAGGTTTCCTGGCATCTGGAATCTTCTTTCATGTCCTTCGTTATGCCTACACGTCGCCAGGACGTTTTTCACATGCTAGGAAGGGAAAGACACAGCTGTTACTACTGTTAATGTTAGTGCTGCAAAGTGCTCCCTTCCACATGTATAATCCAAAAGAATGACTTAATTCTGTATTGGGTGAGCTGCCAGCAGCAAGAGTGGCACATGCCCTTTAGGGCCTGGCTCCTGCCATGCACTTCTAAGTGCGTGGCTCTGAGGGCCTCTTCCTGGTACCTCAGCAGAACAGGCCCTGAGACTGGCACTCTCAATCAGCCTGGAGGAGGTTTCAACCCACCTACCCATTCACTCATCCATCCAACCAACCATGCAACCGCCCACACATCTATCCATCCACCCATCCACCCATCCATCCACCCACCCACTCACCCATCCATCCACCCATCCACCCACCCATCCACCCACCCATCCACCCATCCATCCACACACTCACCCATGCATCCATCCATCCACCCACTCACCCATCCATCCATCCATCCATCCATCCATCCATCCATCCATCCACCCACTCACCCATCCATCCATCCAACCATCCACCCATCCATCCACACACACTCACCCATGCATCCATCCATCCACCCATCCATCCACACACTCACCCATGCATCCATCCATCCACCCACTCACCCATCCATCCATCCACACCCACTCATCCACTCCATCCATCCTACTTCATCCACCTATATCCATCCACCCATCCGCCCATCTCCATCCATCCACCCATCCATCCATCCATCCATCCATCCACCCATCCATCCATCCACCCATCCACCCATCCATTCACCCATCCATCCATCCATCCATCCATCCACCCATCCGCCCATCCATCCACCCATCCACCCATCTCCATCCATCCACCTATCCATCCATCCATCCATCCACCCACCCACCCATCCATCCATCCATCCACCCATCCACCCATCTCCATCCATCCACCCATCCATCCACCCATCCCCCCATCTCCATCCATCCACCCATCCATCCATCCATCCATCCACCCACCCACCCATCCATCCATCCACCCATCCACCCATCTCCATCCATCCACCCAGCCATCCATCCATCCATCCATCCACCCATCCACCCATCCATCCATCCATCCATCCATCCATCCATCCATCCACCCATCCATCCACCCATCCATCCATCCATCCACCCACCCATCCACACACTCACCCACCCATCCATTCATCCATCTGCCCACCCATCCAGGCACTCACTCATCCGTCCATTCACCCGCTCACCCACACATTCATCCATCCATGCATGCATCCATCCATCCATCCATCCATCCATCATCCATCCATCCATCCATGCATCCATCCATCCATCCACCCACCCACCCATCCATCCATCCATCCGTCCATCCACACACTCACCCACCCATCCATTCATCCATCCATCCATCCACACACACCGCACCCACCCATCCATTCATCCAGATAGTCTATGCTAACTGATATGGCTGGGCTGTGTCCTCACCCAAATCTCATCTTGAATTATAGTTCCTGTAACCCCACTTCTTGTGGTGGGAGGTGGGGTACTCAGTGGAGGTAACTGAGCCATGTAAGTGCTATCTCATGCTATTCTCGTGATAGAGTCTTCACAAGATCTGATGGTTTTATAAGGGGTTTTCCCTCGCCTGTAGCACTTCTCTCTCCCTGCTGTGCAGTGACGAGGTGCCTTCCGCCAGGATTGTAAATTTCCTGGGGCCTCCCCAGCCATGCAGAACTGTGAGTTAATTATACCTCTTTTCTTTATAAAATTACCTAGTTCCCGGTATTTCACATAGCAGCATGAGAACGGACTAACATACTCACAACGTGACTTAGGTGGCAATTTGGGCCATGTGGCATCAGCTCGATCTGTGCAGCTGGAGGCTAAGAACAGCCATGCAGTAGCCAGCCAGATGTATGTAGTTGACTCAATGAACACCCTGGCCACTACAAGGCTTGGATCAGCTTCTAACTGGCAGCACTTGTGTGTTTCCTCACACACATCCCTGCTGGGAGAAATAAAGGATGTTCACACAACCCCACTGGGAGAGTGACACTTGGAGGCTTCCACCCGATCACTCCTGGATCCTGCCTCATGCACCTCTCTTCCTTTTGTTGATATATATATATTTTTTGAAATGGAGTCTCGCCTGTTGCCCAGGCTGAATGCAATGGTGCAATCTCAGCTCACTGCACCTCTGCCTCCCAGGTTCAAGTACCTTTGCCTCAGCTCTCTGAGTAGCTGGGACTCCAGGTGTGTGCCACCACGCCAGCTAATTTTGTATTTTTAGTAGAGATGGGGTTTCACCTGTTGGCCAGGCTGGTCTTGAACTCCTGATTTCAAAGTGATCCACCTGCCTCAGCTTTCCCAAAGGCTGGGATTATAGGCATAAGCCACCATGCCCGGCTTTTTGCTGATTTTTAACTGTACCTTCACTGTAATAAAACTATCTCCACTGTGATAAAACTACAACCGTGTGTATGACAGCTTACTGAGCTTCCAGAGTCCTTCTGGCAAACCACTGCATCTGGAGGGTCTTAGAAACTAACACACAGAGTGCTTTCTTTTCTTTTCTTTCCTTTTTTTTTTTTTTCTTTTGAGACAAAGCCCAGCTCTATTGCCCAGGCTGTGGAGTGCAGTGGTACGATCTTGGCTCACCTGGCTAATTTTTGTATTTTTGTAGGACGGGGTCTTGCCATCTTGCAGGCTGGGCCTTGAACTCCTGATCTCAAATGATCCGCCCCTGCCTCGGCCTCCCAAAGTGCTGGGATTACAGGCGTGAGCCACTGTGCCCGGCCACAGGGCGCTTTCTGGCATTCAGAACCAAGTGGAGAATCGGAGGCACAGTGTGGACCGTCTGCCCTTTTGTGGCATCATATCCTGGCTTCGGGAGCCTGGCTCTGTGGGTTTCTGAGGGCTGCCTCCACTGCATAACTCTGGGTCCTCATTTGCATCCTGGTCTGGGTAATGGCGCCCCCCTGGAGTTGTGCAAGGACGGCCTGACTGGTGAAGGGAACCACTACCTCCTGCCTCCCGGTGTCAGATCCCCCCACTCCCAGTAAGTCACGGGCAGCCTTCTGGATTAGCTCTCTGCCTGCTTTAAGAAAGTATTCGGGCTGGCAGCTGATCTGATTTCTGTCCTCTAGAGAACCTTTGACTAACACAGGTCCATGCAGGACGCCCTGCAAACAGCACGAAGACCACCCTGCGTGACACCCACCTTGTTTCCTGATCTTCTGTGACTGGAACAGAGACCTGTGAGAAGAGATGGAGACTGGGCATTATTTGCTTATTTGGGAGCCTGGGCAATTTCTGTTTTTTTTTTAACTTGATTTTTTTTTTTTTTTTTAAGATAACAGGTCTTGGCTGGGTGCAGTGGCTCATATACCCATCCCAGCACTTTGGGAAGGAGGCGGGCGATCACTGAGGTCAAGCCTGACACCAGCCTGGACAACACGGCAACCTCAGTGCCCTACAAAAATACAAAGCAGCTGGGCATGGCGGGTGCCTGTAACTTTGCTACTTCGGGAGGCTGAGGCAGGAGAATCATTTGAACCCAGGAGGCAGAGGTTGGGGAGGTGAGCCGAGATCACACCATTGTACTGTTCTGGGCAACAAGAGGAAAATCTGTCTTTAAAAAAAAAAAAAAAGGTCAGCGCGGTGGCTCAGGCCTGTAATCCCAGCTACTTGGGAGGCCGAGACGGGCGGATCACGAGGTCAGGAGATCTTCCATCCTGAGGAACACGGTGAGTTCCTCGTTTACTAAAAATACAAAAATTAGCCGGGCGAGGTGGCGAGGCCTGTAGTCCCAGCTACTGGGAGGCTGAGGCAGGAGAATGGCGTAATCCGGGAGGCGGAGCTTGCAGTGAGCTGATCCAGCACGCACTCCAGCCTGGAGACAGCGAGACTCCGTCTCAAAAAAAAAAAAAAAAAAAGAAAAAAAAGAGATACAGTGGTCTTGTGATGTTGCCCAGGCTGGAGTGCAATCATATTTGCTGTAGCCTTGAACTCCTGGGCTCTAGTCATCTGCCTGCCTCACCCTTCTGAGTAGCTGGGACTATAGGTGTACATCACCACACCTCGATATTTTTTTGTTTATTTATTTATGAGACGGAGTCTTGCTCTCTGTCGCCACAGGCTGGAGTGCAGTGGTGTGATCTAGGCTCACTGGGCAGCTCCGCCTCCGGGTTCAAGTGATTCTCCTGCCTCAGGCTTCTCCGGGTAGCTGGGACTATAGGCGCGAGCCACCACACCCAGCCACTTTGTATTTTTAGAAGAGATGGGGCTTCACCGTGTTAGCCAGGATGGTCTTGATCTGACCTTGTGATCCGCCCGCCTCGGCCTCTCAAAAATATTGGGATTACATGAGCCACGCGCCTACCCTGATAATTTTTATTTTTAATTAATTAATTAATTAATTATATTTATTTTATTTTTTTTGAGACGGAGTTCACTTTGCTGCTCAGGCTGGGAGTGCAGTAGCCGGATCTCAGCTCACTGCAAGTTCCGCTCCCGTGCTTATGCCATTCTCCTGCCTCAGCCTCCCAAGTAGCTGGGACTACAGGCATCCAGCCACCTCACCCGGCCAGTTTTTATATTTTTAGTAGAGGCGGGTTTCACCGCATAGCTGGTGATGGTCTCAATTGCCTGATCTCATGATCTCACCTTCACTGCCTCCCAAAGTGCTGGGATTACAGGTTTGAGCCACTGCGCCCGGCTCATTTATTTTTTTTTTTTGAGATGGAGTCTCACTTTGTCACCAGTGCAGTGGTGCTATCTCGGTCACGGCAACTTGTCTCCTGGGTTCAAGCAATCTCTGCCTCAGCCTTCCCAAGTAGCTGGGATTAAGACACCCACCACCACACCCAGCTAATTTTTGTATTTTTAGTAGACATGAGGTTTCACCATGCTGGCCAGGCTGGTCTCGAACTCCTGACCTCATGTGATCCGCCCGCCTTGGCCTCCCAAAGTGCTGGGATTACAGGCGTGAGCCACCACGCCCAGCCACTTAGTTCCATTTTCTGTCCCTGAACAAGGACTCCGCCCTACTTAGCCTCCCCCAGGGACTAGGCAGCCTCCCATGACTGTCAGCTGTCTGCCCATAGTCCCCTGCACACCTACCTGTTTTCCACTGGTGCCACCTGGCTTCTTCAGATCTGGCATCACAAACTCCGGCTGGGCCTCGCTGGGCCAGGACAGAGAGAACGAGGTGATGAGGGTGACTGCCCAGCCAGGCCAAGTGGCCTGGCCACATGGCCTCTCTGATTTTCCTGTCCCTGGGACTCATTTTTCTGAACCAGTGAGACATTCTCACCTTTGCTATTTGAGAAAATCTCTGGGACCAAGACTTCTGTCTTATTTGCCTCTGTTTCTCAAAGCTGACATCGGACTCTGGCATGATAAAGGCTAAGCTGTTTTTTTTTTTGCTTTGAAACAGTGGTCTTGTTTCGTTGCCCAGGCTGCAGCGCACGGTACAATCATGGCTCACTGCAGCCTCAACTTCCTGGGCTCAAGCAGTCCTCCCAATTCAGTCTTCCTACAAGTAGCTGAACTACAGGCGCATGCCACCACACCTGGCTAATTTTTATTTATTTATTTTTTTTGAGACAGAGTCTTGCTCTGTCATCCACGCTGGAGTGCCATGGCATGATCTTGGCTCACTGCAACCTCCGCTGCCGGGTTCAAGTGCTTCTCCTGTCTCAGCCTCCCAAGTAGCTGGGATTTCAGGCACGCACCACCACGCCTGGCTAATTTTTGTATTTTTGGTAGAGATGGGGTTATGCCATGTTGCCCAGGCTGCATCTCCAACTCCTGCCCTCACATGATCCTCCTGCCTCAGCCTCCCAAAGTGCTGGGATTACAGCCTCCTGTGCTGACTGGGTGAGCTACTGAGCCCGTCCTGACTTTTATGCTTTATGTGAGGGTGAAGTCTGTGCTCAACCTTTTTTGCCAAGGGTCCCTCATCTTGCACAATAACCTCCAAGGTGGTTGGTAGCATCATTTGCTTAATGTAACCTGCAGCTAAATGCGGAGCCAGGATTTGAACCCAGGTCTGAGTTTAACGCCCTTGCCAGAGGGCAGCATCTGGCCTGCACAGGACAACGGTCCGCGGTTGCCTGGAAGTCACTGGGTTTCCCTAACTGAGAGTCCAGCCAGCCCCCCGCCTGCCCCGACCCAGCCCCAGCAGACGCCACTCTGCACACACCTCTCCCTCCTGGCCTTCAGTCTTTCCTCTTCGTATCTGAAAGAAAGAAAATATGTCAGAGATGACCTTCCTTTTTCCTGAAATACACTTTCTGGGGAATTTCTTCCTTTTCAAGCAGAGAAATGCTCTCTTTTTCTTTCTTTCTTTCTTTTTCTTTTCTTTTTCTTTCTTTCTTTTTTTTTTTTTTTTGAGACAGAGTCTTGCTCTGTCACCCAGGCTGGGATGCAGTGGCCAGATCTCAGCTCACTGCAAGCTCCGCCTCCCGGGTTAACACCATTCTCTCTGCCTCAGCTCTGAAGTAGCTGGGCCTACAGGCGCCACCACCTCGTCCGGCTAGTTTTTTATATTTTTTAGTAGAGACGGGGTTTCACTGTGTTAGCCAGGATGGTCTCGCACTCCTGACCTCGTGATCCGCCCCGTCTTGGTCTCCCAAAGTGCTGCTTGTTGCCGTGCCTGGCCTCTTTTTCTTTTTTTTTTTTTTTGAGATGGGGTCTTGCACTGTCGCCCAGGCTGGAATGCAGTGTTGATTTGGCTCACTGCAACCTCCACCTCCTCGGCTTGAGTGATTCTCCTGCCTTAGCCTCCCGAGTAGCTGGGACTACAGGCACCTGCTACCATGCCCAGCTAATTTTGCATTTTTAGTAGGATGGGGTTTCACTATGTTGGCCTGGCTGGCTCAAACTCCTGACCTTGTGATCCACCCACCTCGGCCTCCCAAAGTTCTGGGATTACAGGCATGAGCCACTGCACCTGGCCCATGGGTGCATTTTTTTATTATAAATGTTGTGTTGGTCAGGCACGGTGCCTCACGCCTGTAATCCTGGTGAACTGGGAGGCCGCGAGGTGGGTGGATCACCTTGTGAGCTCAGGAGTTTGAGACCAGCCTGACCAACATGGTGAAACCTTATCTCTACTAAAAATACAAAAATTAGCTGGGCATGGTGGCAGGCGCCTGTAATCCCAGCTACTTGGGAGGCTAAGGCACAAGAATCACAACTGTAGCCGGAGGACATGGTGAGTCGAGACTGCGCGGCCATTGCACTCCAGCCTGGGTGACAGAGCGAGACTCCGTCTCAAAACAAAACAAACAACAAAAAACCAGGCTGGGCACACAGTGGCTCATGCCTGTAATCCCAGCACTTTGGGAGGCTGAGGTGGGCAGATCACTGAGGTCAGGAGTTCAAGACCAGCCTGGCGAACATGGAGAAACCCTGTCTTTACTAAAAAAAAAAAAAAAAAAAAAAAAAAAAAATTAGCCGGGCATGGTGGTGCATGCCTATAATCCCAGCTACTTGGGAGGTTGAGGCAGGAGAATTGCTTGAACCCGGGAGGTGGAGGTTGTGGTGAGCCGAGATGGCACCATTGCACTCCAGCCTGGACAACAAGAGCAAAACTCCTTCCCAAAAAAATAATAAATAAATAAATAAAATTAAAATAAAAAAAGAAATGGCTAAGATGGCAAGTTCTATGTTACGTGTATTTTACCACAATAAAAAAATGTATGTTTAAGGAGATTTTTGCAGCATGAACCTAGGGTAAGTGTTGATGATGTAACATTCAGTGAAAAAAGAACAGGACTTGATACTGCCCATCCCTTCCCCAAGCTCCAGGTCCCTGAGGGGCTCCAGGAAATAAATTGGTGGTTTCTAGTCCCCCCATTCCAAGTCTGCGTTTCCCCTCATTGCTAGCTGCTGGTAGCCAGGGGGATCCAGTAGGGGGGTGTTGGAGTGGTATGGTTTGACTGTATCTCCACCCAAATCTTTTTTTTTTTTTTGAGATGGAGTTTCACTCTTGTTATCCAGGTTGGAATGCAATGGTGCGATATTGGCTCACCACAACCTCTGCCTCCCGGGTTCAAGCGATTCTCCTGTCTCAGCCTCCTGAGTAGCTGAGATTACAGGCATGCACCACCACACCTGGTTAATTTTTGTATTTTTAGGAGAGACGGGGTTTCACCATCTTGGCCAGGCTAGTCTCGAACTCCTGACCTCAGGTGATATGCCCGTCTCAGCCTCTCAAAGTGGTGGGATTACAGTGCTGGGATTACAGGCGTGAGCCACCTTGCCTGGTCTCTCCACCCAAATCTCATCTTGAATTGTAGCTCCCATAATTCCCTCGTGTTGTGGGCGGGACCTGGTGGGAGGTCACTGAATCACGGGGGCAGGTGTTTCCTGTGCTATTCTCGTGATAGTGAGTAAGTCTCACGAGATCTGATGGTTTTATAAAGGGGAATTTCCCTGCACCAATTGCCTTCCCTTGTCTGCTGCCATGGGAGATATGCGCCTTCCACCATGACTGGGAGCCACACCTCCCCCAAGCCATATGGAACTGTGAGTCCCTTATCTTAAACCTCTTTTTTAAATTAATTTATTTTTTTGAGACGGAGTCTCGCTCTGTCGCCCAGGCTGGAGTGCAGTGGCCGGATCTCAGCCCACTGCAAGCTCCGCCTCCCGGGTTCACGCTATTCTCCTGCCTCAGCCTCCCGAGTAGCTGGGACTACAGGCGCCGCCACCACGCCCGGCTAGTTTTTTGATATTTTTAGTAGAGACGGGGTTTCACCGTGTTAGCCAGGATGGTCTCATCTCCTGACCTGTGATCCGCCCGTCTCGGCCTCCCAGAGTGCTGGGATTACAGGCGTGAGCCACCGCGCCCGGCCCCTTAAACCTCTTTTGTAAATTGCCCTGTCTCAGTTAGGTCTTTATCAGCAGCACGAAAATGGACTAATACGGCGGGGAGGACTGTGGGGCCACTTACTGCAGGACGCAGTCTGGGATCTGGACGTGTTCCATGGGGATGAGTTGCTCCAGGTCTTCCAAGCTGTGCACGTACTGGATCTTGTTGATGAACTTGACGCTGGCAAGGGGAGAAGGAGAGAGAGGTTTGAAATGCAACCCGTTGGGGGGGCGGTTACCTAGGTCCAGACCAGAGCCATGGCGACAGGGATGCCCACAGGACCCCACTCCAGGATGCCCCAGGGCAGATGACGATACCTCCCTTGCGCCCGATGAAAGCCTTAATTCTCCTGCACCCCATGTATGGGGTGGAGACCCCGGATCTGCCCCGAGGCCCTTGCAAGCAGGGCCATGCACTCGACATGGGTTCCTGCAATGAGGATCTTGTTGGAAGGAAGTCAGGAGGCGGGGAGATGGTCTCAGGCTCTACAGGCTGTTTTACCATCATCTAAAAGTTGCTCGTCTGTGTTACTTTTCCCCAAGAATGCTTTCCCTCCATGTCACTGCACAGGACGGCACAGCCAACACTCAGTTGGGCACAAGAAGGGGGCACGTGGGGCTGCCAATTGATTCTCGTTTTTTTTTTTTTTTTTTCTTGAGTCAGAGTCTCGTTCTGTCACCCAGGCTGGAGTGCAGTGGTGCGATCTCGGCTCACTGCAACCTCCGCCTCCCAGGTTCAAGCGATTTCCCCTGCCTCAGCCTCCGGAGTAGCTGGGACTACAGGCATACACCACCACTCCCGGCTAACGTTGTATTTTTAGTGGAGATGGGGTTTCATCATGTTGGCCAGGCTGGTCTCCAACTCCTAACCTCACATGATCTGCCCGCTTCTACCTCCCAAAGTGCAGTCATGAGCCACCCCGCTTGGCCCAATTCTCTGTTCTTTAGGGATGAAGGGTTCTTTCCTGTCCAGCCCTGAACTCTGGCCATCTGGTACCACGTGGTGTTTTGTCACCAGCACGTCATGGTATTTTTTTTTTTTAGAGACAGAGTCTCACTCTGTCACCCAGGTTGGAGTGCAGTGGTGCAATCATGGCTCACTGCAGTCTCGGGCTCCTGGGCTCAAGTGATCCTCCTCCCTCAGTCTCTGAGTAGCTGGGATCACAGGTGCGTGTCACCAGGCCTGGCTAATTAAAAAAATTTTTTTTTGGCCGGGCGCGGTGGCTCAAGCCTGTAATCCCAGCACTTTGGGAGGCTGAGACAGGCGGATCACGAGGTCAGGAGATCGAAACCATCCTGGCTAACACAGTGAAACCCTGTCTCTACTAAAAAATACAAAAAACTAGCCGGGCGAGGTGGCGGGCGCCTGTAGTCCCAGCTACTCGGGAGGCTGAGGCAGGAGAATGGCGTAAACCCGGGAGGCGGAGCTTGCAGTGAGCTGAGATCCGGCCACTACACTCCAGCCTGGGCAACAGAGCGAGACTCCGTCTCAAAAAAAAAAAAAAAAAAAAAAATTTTTTTTTGTAGAGATGGAGGTCTTGCTCTGTTGCCCAGACTCGTCTTCAACTCCTGGCCTCAAGCGATCCTCCTGCCTCAGCCTCTCAAAGTGCTGAGATTAGAGGTGTGAGCCACCGTGCCTGGTGTTTTATGTGTATTTTTAGAGGTTAAAGATTTATTTAAATTATTTATTTATTTATTTTTGAGACAGAGTCTTATCCTGTCGCCCAGGCTGGAGTGCAATGGTGCAATCTCAACTCACTGCAACCCCTTTCTCCAGGGTTCAAGCGATTCTCCTGCCTCAGCCTCCCGAGTAGCTGGGATTACAGGCATGCGCCACCATGCCTGGCTGATTTTTGTATTTTTAGTGGAGATGGGGTTTCACCATGTTGGCCAGGCTGGTCTCGAACTCCTGACCTCAGGTCATCCACCCATCTTGGCCTCCCAAAGTGCTGGGATTACAGGCTGAGCCACTGCTCCCGGCCACATGCCGAATGTTTAGATCATCGTGGCACAAATAGAAATTTCCTTTTCATTTATATAATCATGAAACCTCAGGGTTGTATAGGAGCCCATAATCAGCCTCCAGTCTCGTTGGCTTTTAAATGGGGATAGCTTACAGCTCCTTCCCACTTTGTAGAGTCAAAAATTACATCTTCAACATTCTCCATGGCCAAATAAACCAAAAATGATAGAATTTAATTCTTTTATTATTTATTTATTTATTTATTTATTTTGGAGACAGAGTCTTGCTCTGTTACCTAGACTGGAGTGCAGTGGCCCGATCTTGGCTCACTGCAACCTCTGTCTCCCAGGCTCAAGCAATTCTTGTGCCTCAGCCTCCCGAGTAGCTAGGACTACAGGCGTGAGCCACCACTAATTTTTGTCATTTTTAGTAGAGATGGGGTTTTGCTGTGTTGGCTAGGCTGGTCTGGAACTCCTGACCTCAAGTGATCCACCTGTCTCAGCCTCCCAAAATGCTAGGATTACAGGCCTGAGTCACCACACCCGGCCGTATTAAAAAAAAAATTTTTTTTGTAGAGACAGGGTATTGCTATGTTGCCCAGGCTGGTCTCGAACTCCCGGGCTCAAGCGATTCTCTCATTTCGACCTTCCAAAGTGTTGGGATTACAGGTGTGAGCCATGGCGCCCAGTGAAGAATAGAATTATTGGGTTGGCGCAAGAGTGATTGTAGTTTTTGTAATGAAAAGTGTGGCAAGAACTCCCATTATTTTTGCACCAACCCAATATCTACATTAAAGGCAAAGGCAATCTATGTTACTGAATTCTGGAATATAGAGGAGAAAGTGCAATTCTCTTAGACTGAAATGCGTGTTTGCCATTTTGCCTGCGTGATTCATTATTAGCGCAAATGATCCATAATTAGTGTATTCCTCATCTCATTTTGCTAATATGTAAATAAACCCCTTCAGGGTACTTAGCAGTCCTTGAAAACAGCATGTTCAAAGAGTCTGCCTTGAAAATTGTGCCTGCTGTGAATGTGTCCTGTCGTTCAAGGGAGAGTGAAGCCCTCGTCTCTTTCACTCATCCCAGATTTGTAACTGGGAACATGAACATTACGAATCTTTATTCAATTCAGTGTTTTGCATCAGATTAAATTAAATTTGCATGACATTTTATTGGATTGAGTAAGGCCTTTAACATGCCTAATTTTATTTCACTTGATCTGTTTTACTCTATGCTTAACGTAGTAACTATGATATACATTATAGAATATATGTAGTTTTACATTTTAAATTTGTTATTAATTAATCATATTATTTATTTATGCATATATATTTTTTATTTTTAGAGACAGGGTTTTGCTCTGTCTCCCAGACTGGAGTGCAGTGGAGTGACCATAGCTCACTGCAGCCTCTACCTCCTGGGCTCAAGTGATCCTCCTGCCTCAGCCTCCTAAGTAGCTGGGACTACAGGCATGTGATGCCATGCATGGCTGATTTTCTTTTGAGACAGGGTCTCACTCGGTCACCCAGGCTGGAGTACAGTGGCTTGATCACGGCTCATTGCAGCCTTGACTTCCTGGGCTCAAGCCATCCTCCCACATGAGCCTCCCAAGTAGCTGAAACTACAGGTGCACACCACCATGTCCTGCTAATTTTTGTATTTTTTGTAGAGATGGGGGTTTTGCTATGTTGCTCAGGCTGGCCTCAAACGACCCTCCCACCTCAGCCTTCTGAGTAGCTGGGATTACAGGTGTGAGCCACGGTGCCTGGCTGTGTGCAATTTAAAACTGTTTAAAGCAATAATATGTATTCATCATAGAGAAGCTGGAACATGCAGATCAAACACACACATGGATGCACACACACAGATGCATATACACGTACACATGTGCACACACAGATGCACACACAAATGCATGCATACACACACACACACTCAGGCCACCAGACTCGAGTTGTAGCCTCCTTGTCTCACCTGATGAAAGGGCGAGAGATGGCCAGCACAGTCCGAATGAACCACGAGGGGTGGACGATGATCAAGGACTTCAGGTTTTTCCGCAATCTGTGTGGGGCCGCAAAGGAAGCAAGATGGGCTCCTGGGGCGAGCCCTGGGGAGGGAGGAGTTGGGTGGGACGGGAGAGCCACAGGCAAGCATTCGTCACTTTGTTCATTTCACATGTGGTCTCCAGGTACCTGTCAATCCCTGCCCCCATCCAAGACATGGGGGTCCCATGGTGGGATAAAGACACACCCTTTGAATCCCTAAGACCCTAAGGTGGATGAGGTAGATAGAGACCCCGTGGTGCAGAGCAGGTGAACCAGGTTGGCAGTTATTTGAGCAGCCAAGATTGTATTTTCACCACCTAATGCCCTAGGAGGGACCAGCCTGTCCTGGGAGCCTCCCTCCACTAACCTGGGTGCAAGGATGGATTGGCTGGCTCAATTTTAATGTCACTCTGAGGCTATTTACGATAACCCAGGGATGGAAGCAGCCCTTGTCCATCAAGATGAATGAAATGGACAAACCAAATGTGGTGCGTCCATGCAATGGAATATTATGCAGCCATGAAAAGGAAGGAGGCTCGGACACAGCCTACAATGTGGATGCACCCTGAGGACGTCACACTCAGTGACGAAAGCCAGATACAAAAGGACAAATCCTGTGTGATTCCAGTCCTAGGAGGTCCCTAGAGTCATCAGATTCACAGAGACAGAACATAGGATGGGGGTGCCAGGGCCTGGGGAGAAGGAATTGGGAGTGACTGTTTCATGGGGACAGAGTATTGCTCTGTCGCCCAGGCTGGAGTGCAGTGGCATGATCTTGGCTCACTGCAAACTCCGTCTCTTGGGTTCAAGTGATTCTCCTGCCTCAGCTTCCCAAGCAGCTGGGACTACAGACGTTCATCACCACGCCCAGCTAATTTTTGAATTTTTTAGTAGAGATGGGATTTCACTATATGTTGGCCAGGCTGGTCTTGAACTCCTGACCTCAGGTGATCTGCCCACCTTGGCTTCCAAAAGTGCTGGGATTACAGGTGTGAGCCCCCTCGCCCAGCCTATAAGTGTTTCTGTAGAGACAAAGTCTTGCTGTGTTGCCCAGGCTCGTCTCAAACTCCTGGGCTCAAGGGACCCTCCCACCTCAGCCTCCCAAAATGCTGGGATTCCAGGTGTGAGCCACCAAGCCCGGCCCCCTGTGTGATTTTTAGGCCCCCGCTGTGCTTCCTGAGGCATCCCCACCTCACCTCCGATCGATCATCTGGTAGCACTTCTTCAGCCAGCCGATCCCCGGCATCCTTCGCCGGGGCGTGGCGCCGTTCAGGTACACGATCATGTAGTCCTCAGCCACCAGGAGCTCTAAGCTGCTGATGACATACCTGCTCACAGGGCACAGAAGGCAGGGACCCAACATGGAGGGGTCCAGCGTCAGGACACCTGCGGTGCCGACCCCGCCTGCCTCCACCCCTGCCCTGGCTGGGCCAGCCGCACCGGTCCAGGTGTTGTCTGCTGTCCTGGCGGACTGCAGGGTGGGAGTGGACGTGGATGATCCCAGCATACTCCACATGAGTGTCAGCGGGCAGCCTCCTAGGGCAGTTACCCTTTTATTGAGTCTTGTTTTTTTTTTTTTTTTTTTTGAGACGGAGTTTCGTTCTTGTCACCCAGGCTGGAGTGCAGTGGTGCGATCTTGGCTCACTGCAACCTCCACTTCCCGGGTTCAAGCGATTCTCCTGCCGCAGCCTCCCTAGTAGCTGGGATTAAAGGCACCTGCCACCAAGCCCAGCTAAGTGGTTGTATTTTTAGTAGAGACAGGGTTTCACTATGTTGGCCAGGCTGGTCTCTAGGCCTTGCTTTTTTTTGTTTTTGTTTTTTGAGACGGAGTCTTATACCGTCACCCAGGCTGGAATGCAGTGGTGCCATCTTGGCTCACTGCAACCTCCACCTCCCGGGTTCAAGCGATTCTCCTGCCTCAGCCTCCCGAGTAGCTGGGACCACAGGTGCCCGCTAATATGCCCGGCTAATTTTTGTATTTTTAGTAGAGACGGGGTTTCACCATGTTGGCCAGGTTGGTCTCAAATTCCTGGACTCAAGCGATCCTCCCACCTCAGCCTCCCAAAGTGTTGGGATTACAGACGTGAGGCCTTGTGCCCGGCTTGAAGATGGCAATCTTACTAATAACAGTGATAAGAGTTGTCATGATTGATGAGCTCTTCATATCAGCTATCAGGTGCTGTGTGTGTATTGCCTGTATCTGTCCTAATAAAATGACACCTGTGTGTCTTTGGGCAAGTGACTCAACCTCTCTGTGCTCAGGGTGCTCACCCGTAGAATGGGAGGCAATGGTGTCTACCTTACAGGGCTATGGTCAGGGTGGGATGTGTTAGCAGATGGGAAGCCCTTAGCCTATGGCTGCCACAGAGTAACTGCTCAGTAAATGATAGACAAGAGGACGAAAAGGAGGAAGAAGAGAAAAGAAGAGAGAGGAAGGGGAGGAGGAAAAGGAAGAGGAGGAGAGGGAGGAAGGGAAGGAGGAGGAGGAGGAGGGAGGGGGAAGAGGGGGGAGAAAGAAGGGGAGAAGGAGGACAGTGAGGAGAACGGGGTGGCCCAGAAGGAAAGCCACTGTGAGCCTCAGGGCCAGCAGGGACTCAGATCAAGGTCTGTGGCCGCCACGCCCTTCCTTGGTGCCAGGCAGGCTTCCTAGGCCCACAGTGCAATCCTTTCAGTCTGGTGCCCCTGCGTCCAGGGAGGCGTCAGAGCTGGCCCGAGGCTGCCCACGCGGGCGGGGACTCACAGGAAGAGGTTCTCCATGATGTAGTGGTAGTCGGGGAGGCTGCTGTCTGGAAGGAAGCAGGCTGCGAAGACGATGATGGCGTTGAGGCCTTCACCATAGTACCCTGCGGAGAGGCAGCCGGTCGGCAACGTCAGACTCCTCTCCCAGCCCTGAGCTGCCTCCTGCGCACCACCCCCCACGTCCCGGTGCCCACACGCTCGGGAGGGCAAGGCTCTGAGCCACAGTAGCCAGCGACCCCTCAGCCAGTCTCTGCCTTCGGTGGGGAGTGACAGCGACCATCAGGAGCCCCCACTGCGCCTGCCTGGCCATGCACGCCTTGCCCACAGTCCGTCCAACCCAACGAGTTGACGGCTTAACATCCCAGTGCATCAGACAAAGAGACTGAGGTTCGAAGAGGGGCACTGACAAGCTGCCTGTTGCCCCTCGGGCCGGGCTGGAGCCCCAGGGGGGCGCTGGGGGGCGGGTCTCACCTCCGTGGGTGACCACTTTCATGTAAGGCCGGATCATGTGCAGGTCTATACGGTGTTCTTGCTCCCCGATGATCACCGTCCGCCACAGACGCCCATTGGCAGCACCGCCGTCCTCCGTCGTGCCGTCCCCAAATAGATCCGCGCTGTCCCCGGGCATGTTCTTGGCGGTGGCCACGGGGGTGTCATCTAGAAGCAGGAGGGGGAGAGTCAGTCGCATGGATGTGAGTCCAGATACCTCCCGCCCTCCCGCTCAGCCTTCCTTCCCCTCTCCCGTATCCCTTGCTGCGGGGACCCACACGTCCTTCGCTTCTCCCCGCCTGGCTGCCCTGCTGACCCATTTTCCTCTCCCACTCCCCCTTCAAGGCCTGGCTCAAATGCCGCCTCCTCCAGGAAGCCTTTCTGGACGTTCCCTTTGCTGGCCTCCCAGGGTGCTCTGTTGGTTAAGGACCTGTGTCCTGGAGCTTCTCAGAGCTGGTGAACGCATCTGCTTCATCAAACCACGAGGGCACTCGGGACATGCGTGCCTGGGTTCTGCTCTCCCAGGAGCCTGGCACACAGAGAGCGGTCCTCATGCCTCAGCCTCCCAGATACCTGGGACTACAGTTGGGCACCACCACACCCAGCTAATTTTTATATTTTTGTAGAGATAGGGTTTCAATATGTTGCCCAGGCAGGTCTCAAACTGCCAGCCTTAAGCGATCCTCCTACCCTGGCCTCCCGAAGCTCTGGGATTACAGGCATGAGACACTGCATTGTCCTGAATTCTTTTCTTTTATTTTTTTGAGGCGGAGCCTCGCTCTGTCGCCCAGGCTGGAGTACAGTGGCCGGATCTCAGCTCACCGCAAGCTCCACCTCCTGGGTTTACGCCATTCTCCTGCCTCAGCCTCCTGAGTAGCTGGGACTAAGGCGCCCGCCACCTCGCCCGGCTAATTTTTTGTATTTTTAGTAGAGACGGGGTTTCACCGTGTTAGCCAGGATGGTCTCGATCTGCTGACCTCATGATCCACCCGTCTCGGCCTCCCAAAGTGCTGGGATTACAGGCTTGAGCCACCGCACCCGGCCGGTCCTTAATTCTTTTCTTTTTCTGTCTCTTTCTTTCCTTCCTTTCCTTCTCTTTCTTTCTTTCTCTCTCTCTCTCTCCCTCCCTGCCTCCCTTTCTTTCTTTTTTTCTTTTTTCTTTTTTTTTTTTTTTTTTTTTGAGACAGAGTCTCACTATGTCGCCCAGGCTGGAGTGCAGTGGCCAGATCTCAGTTCACTGCAAGCTCTGCCTCCTGGGTTCACGCCATTCTCCTGCCTCAGCCTCCTGAGTAGCTGGGACTACAGATGCTCGCCGCCACACCCGGTTAGTTTTTGTATTTTTTTTTTTAGTAGAGATGGGGTTTCACCGTGTTAGCCAGGATGGTCTCAATCTCCTGACCTCGTGATCTACCTGCCTCGGCCTCCCAAAGTGCTGGGATTACAGGCGTGAGCCACCGTGCCCAACCCCACCTCGCTCCCTTTTTTAAAAATTTTATTTTTGAGACAGGGTCTCACTCTTTTTTAAAAATTTTATTTTTATTTTATTTTATTTTTCTGAGACGGAGTCTCGTTCTGTCGCCCAGGCTGGACTGCAGTGGCGCCATCTCGGCTCACTGCAAGCTCCGCCTCCCAGGTTCACGCCATTCTCTTGCCTCAGCCTCCCCAGTAGCTGAGACTACAGGCGCCCACCACCACGTCCGACTAATTTTTTGTACTTTTAGTAGAGACGGAGTTTCACCGTGTTTAGCCACAGTGATCACAAGGTCGATCTCCTGACCTCGTGATCCGCCGGCCTCGGCCTCCCAAAGTGCTGGGATTACAGGTGTGAGCCACCGCGCCTGGCAAAAATTTTATTTTTAAGACAGGGTCCCATTCTATTGTCCAGGCTGGAGTGCAGTGGCATGATCACGTCTCACTGCAGCCTTGATCTCCTGGATTTAAGGCTAGACACCTTAGAGTCCCTGCCCCACTTGTGACTCTCTGAGCCTATGGGAATCCAGAGACAGAAAGGTGGGGGCCCTCCAGCAGGCCCCAGAAAGACCCCGAACTTTACCTTCCCACTCCAGTTCGTTGCCATTCCCCAGGAACTCCAGCGAGTCAGTCTCATCGGGGGTCTCGATGTCATCCACGTTAATATCCAGGTCATCAGGGGTATCCAAGAAGTCATCGGACAGCAGGGATCCCTCACTCTGATCCAGAGAAATGTTGATATCTGGGGCCACCAGCGTCTTCCTCTTACGATGCGCTCCGTTGAAGTTTAGCGTGTTGGGAGGAGCTGCAGGGAAATGAGAAACACGGAAAAAAATCTTTGCTTTCTCTCTTTTACCTCCTCCCCGTTTTCCTACCTGGTGGAAGCTGTTTTATCATACAGGAATGGGGAAGAGAGGGTAGGCTTCCTTCTGTATCCATGCCATTGTTGGGGGCAGGCAGAATTAAGCAGGCATCATCCTGACGGGGTAAATGTTATAACCACTGTCCTGTGGGCAGGGGCGGGGCACTTGCCTCAGAGATTAAAGATGGATGCTTGGACATTGGGTAGACATGAGTTCAAAGCCTGACTTTGGCCCGGATGCGGTGGCTCACGCCTGTAATCCCAGCACTTTGGGAGGCCAAGGCAGGCGGATCACCTGAGGTCAGGAGTTCGAGACCAGCCTGGCCAACATGATGAAACCCCGTCTCTACTAAAAATACAAAAATTAGCCAGTCGTGGTGGTGGGCACCTGTAACCCCAGCTACTTGGGAGGCTGAGACAGAAGAATCACTTGAGCCCAGCAGGCTGAGGTTACAGTGAGCCGAGATCATACCATTGCACTCCAGCCTGGGTGACAGAGCGAAACTCTATCTCAAAAATAAATAAATAAATAAATAAATAAATAAATAAATAAAGGATCATGCCACTGCACTCCAGCCTGGATGACAGAGTATGACCCAGTCTCCTAAAAAATGTATATATTTGGGTCCAGTATAACGTATTATACATTAAAATGTATATGTTTAGAGCTCTGGATAGCAGAGCCTCCCAGGGTGCCCTTGGCTGTGCTTACTTGTTGCCTCCGGGGCACTTGGCATCACCTCATTTAATCCTTACCTGCCCCCTCTGTGAGAAGCTCACTACCTAGATTTAGTAGATGAGGCATTGGAGGCACAGAAAGGCTGAGTGACTAGCACAGGGACACACAGCAACACAGCGTGCTAGCTTCATGACAGCGCCATCATCCACTGTGTCTCTCACCCACCACGGCCACTTCCACCGTAGACCCCAGGACGGAACATTCTGCCCACGGTGTGGCCCGTGACATTTCTACAGTTACAGCCCCAGGCAGGGCTGAAACCCGGAAGCCCCGAGCCCGTTTCCGCCCTTCTGTGGACGTGGAAACTTACAGGATGTGTCTTCCACCGGGCTGCCAAGCAATTCCACCCCCGTCTCTTCTGGGAGTGGCCTACGGACCCATCCAGGAATGGGCATCAGTCGCCGGGCACCAGAGATTCAGGCAGAGGACAGTGGAGTCGCCCAGACAGGTCCAGCCAGGCAAGTCAGACAAGAACAAAAGCAAAACGCACTTAGTTCCGGAGAATCACTGGACTTAAATATATACATTTTTTTTTGGAGACAGAGCCTCACTCTGTCGCCCAGGCTGGAGTGCAGTGGCATGATCATGGCTCACTGCAGCCTCAACTTCCTATGCTCAAGAGATCCTCCTGCCTCAGCCTCCTGAGTAGCTGGGACTGCAGGCACACACCACCATGGCTAGCTAATTTTGTAGTTTTTTGTAGAGATGGGATCTCGCTATGTTTCCCACGCTGCTCTTGAACTCCTGGGCTCAAGCCATCTTCCCACCTTGGCCTCCCAAAGTGCTGGGATTACGGGCGTGAGCCACCACAAGCAGCACGTTTTTTCTTTTTCTTTGCATTCGTTCGTTCGTTCTTTTTTTTTTTTTTTGAGACAGAGTCTCGCTCTGTCACCCAGGCTGGATGGAGTACGGTGGCGCAATCTCGGCTCACTGTAACCTTCATCTCCCGGGTTCAAGCAATTCTTTTGCCTCAGCCTCCCAAGTAGCTGGGACTACAGGTGCCTGCCACCATGCCTGGCTAAGTTTTGTATTTTTAGTAGGGACGGAGTTTCACGATATTGGCCAAGCTGGTCTCGAACTCATGACCTTGTCATCCACCCACCTCGGCCTCTCAAAGTGCTGGGATTACAGGCGTGAACCACTGCGCCCGGCCAGCATGTTTTTTCTTTAGCAGAGGAAGAAAATTGTAATGCATCAGGGCTGAAGGGCTCCTTTTAATCATCAAATTAATATTAAGATTTTTGGAGATTTTTGGATGGCTTGAGGAGAATGAAGGTTTTCCCCAGCAGCACATGACTTCAAAAACTTGGAAATATGTTAATAAGTTGAATTCTCTCTAGGGCAACCCTGCGGGATTTGGTCTCTGATGAGTTGTTGACTCTCAAACGCAGCAAAAAGTGTTAAAAATAAATAAATAAAAAACCCCACAAAAACCTGAGTCAACCAGAAGAGATCTCTGTGTCAATGCTGAAACAGTTTGTGCAACCAAATAAATAATGCAATATTGAATTATAACCCAAGATATAAAATTATCTACGAGTCCATACGGATATAAATAAGTCACTGAACAAATAAACAGCAGAGAAGAGACACATTTCTTGTGCAGAAGAATTGAAAATAGTTTATGTACAGATCTGCCCTCAAGAAGACGAAGGATAGGCTGGGCATGGTGGGTGGCTCACGCCTGTAATCCCAGCACTTTGGGAGGCCGAGGCGGGCGGATCACGAGGTCAGGAGATTGAGACCATCCTGGCTAACACGGTGAAACCCCGTCTCTACTAAAAATACAAAAAATTAGCCAGGCCTGGTGGCGGTGCTTATAGTCCCAGCTACTTGGGAGGCTGAGGCAGGAGAATGGCATAAACCCGGCAGGCAGAGCTTGCAGTGAGCCGAGATTGTGCCACTGCACTCCAGCCTGGGCGACAGAGCAAGAGCCCATCTCAAAAAAAAAAAAGATGATGATGAAGGATAACTCTCTGTAGGCTGTGTGTAGTGATGTCATTCCAAAAAATACAGGATGGGCTGGGCGCAGTGACTCACGCCTGTAATCCCAGCACTTTGGGAGGCTGAGGTGGGAAGATCACTTGAGCTCAGGAGTTCGAGACCGTCCTGGACAACGTGGTGAAACCCTGTCTCTACTAAAAATACAAAAATTAGCCAGGCATGGTGGAGGACACCTGTAATCCCAGCTACTCAGGAGGCTGAGGCAGGAGAATTGCTTGAACCCGGAAGGTGGAGGTTGCAGTGAGCCGAGATCGTGCCACTGCACTCCAGGCTGGGTGACAGAGTGATATTACGTCTCAAAACAAACAAACAAAACTATCAAGGGCATCAAAACAAGAAAGATAGGAGTGCCAGGAGATGTGATAACTAAATGTCATCTGGGATCTTGGATGGGGTTGTAGGGCAGAAGGAAAAGGACAGTAGGCCAGCCTGGGCATCATGGCAAAACTCCGTCTCTACAAAAAATACAAAGATTAGCTGGACATGGTGGTGCCTGTAGTCCCAGCTACGCTGGAGGCTGAGGTGGGAGGACTGCTTTAGCCCGGGAGGCGGAGGCTGCAGTGAAGTATGAGCACACCACTGCACTCCAGCCTGGATGACAGAGTGAGACCCTGTCTCTTAAAAAAAAAAAAAAAAAAAAAAAAGAGAGAAAAGAAAAAAGCAAAAGAGGACATTAGGAAAAACTATGAAAATCTAAAAAAGCATGGACTTTGGCAACTAATAACCAACATTGATCAATATCGTTATTGATCAGTGTTGGTTATCAGTAACCAATAGTATCAATATTGATTCATCAATTGTGACAAATATAAAATATACACAGCTAATATAAGATGTTAATTATGGGAGAAACCAGGTACCCAGTCTGCAGGAATTCTCTGTACTAACTTTGCAACTTTTTCTTTTTTTTTATGAGACGGAAATACTGGGATTACAGGCGTGAGCCATCGCACCTGGCCCCGGACCACTTCTTGAAGCCACAGCCCTTGCCGCCCGAGTTTGACCCAGGAGCTCTGGCTCTTTGGCTACCCTGGGAAATATTCCATTCCAGGCAGAACATTTTGCATGGAGCTGCCAGAGGTCCTAGCGGCAGGGCGTGCTGACTCAGGAAAGCCAGGCTACAGCTTAATTCATCTCTGTAACTCAACATTCCTGGCTCAGCTGCAAGGCAAGCTGTTTAGACAGGAAGGGCGGTGGAATTCATGTTCCTTTCCTTTAAAAAAATGATTTATTGGCCGGGCGTGGTGGCTCATGTCTGTAATCCTGGCACTTTGGGAGGCTGAGGCGGGCAGATCACCTGAGGTCAGGAGTTCAAGACCAGCCTGGCCAAAATGGTGAAACCCAGTCTCTACTAAAAAATAAAAAAAATTATCTGGGTGTGGTGGTGCGTGCTTGCAGTCTTAGCCACTCGGGAGCCTAAGGCACGAGAGTCGCTTGAACCCTGGAGGTGGAGGTTGCAGTGAGCCGAGATCGCGCCATTGCACTCCAGCCTGGGCAACAAAGTGAGACTCTGGTCTCAAAAAAAAAAAAAAGATTTGTTCCCCTCATTTCTGTTCCACTTAGGGCATGAGCTGGTAACCTTTTTGGGGCATAAACCTATTTACGCTTTTTCCCTCTCCCTTTCCCTCCCTCTCTTTTGCCCATTCACCCATGCATCAAATGTTTTTTTCCCTCTCTCTTTTCCTCCCTCTCTCTTTTCTCCATTCATCAAATGTTTTTGCATAACCACTGCGTCTCCAGTGCATCTACGGGGCTTGGAGGTAAAGGAGGAATCAGATGTCACCCTCCTCCTGTTCATGGCAAAGATCAAAATGGAGCAGATTCCCAAAGGAAATGAAAACATCTCTTCACATGAAAACTCATACTTGAATATTCACAGCAGCATAATTCATAAAAACCAAAACGTGGAAACAATTCAAGAGTCCATTGACAGCCAGGCGCAGTGGCTCACGCCTGTCATCCCGGCACTTTGGGAGGCCGAGGTGGGCAGATCATGAGGTCAAGAGATCGAGATCATCCTGGCCAACATGGTGAAACCTGTCTCTACTAAAAATACAAAAATTAGCTGGACGTGGTGGCACATGCCTATAATCCCAGCTACTTGGGAGGCTGAGGCAAGAGAATCTCTTGAACCCAGGAGGTGAAGTTTGCAGTGAGCCGAAATCGCACCACTACACTCCAGGCTGGGGACACAGTGAGACTCCATCTCAAAAACAACCAACCAACCAGCCAGTCCATTAACAGCTGACTGAATCAACAAATGTGGTATATCCATTCAATGGAATACTATTTAGCCCTGAAAAGGAACGAGGCTCTGACACAGACCACAGCATGGATGCACCTTGAAGACATCATGCTCAGTGAGAGATGCCAGACACAAAAGGCCATACAGTGTGTGATTCCAATTACATGAAATGTTGGCTGGGTATGGTGGCTCATGCCTTTGAAAGGCTGAGGCGGGCGGGTTCATTGAGCCCAGGAGTTTGAGACCAGTCTGGGCAACATGACGAAAGCCCATCTCTACTAAAAATACAAAACAATTAGCTGGGTATGGTGGTACATGTCTAGTTCCAAGTACTCAGGAGGCTGAGGCAGGAGGATTGCTCAAACTTGGGAGGTCAAGGCTGTAGTGAGCTATGATTGTACCACTGCACTCCACCTAGGTGAAAGAATGACACCCTGCTCAAAAAAGAAAAGGAAAAAAAAAAAGAGAGATGTTTAGTACACGTAAATTTTCACAGAACGTAGATATGTGGTCACCAGGGGTTGGGGGAGAGGGATGAAAATGGGGGTTGACTTAACGGAGTAGGATTTCCTCTCACGGTGATGAAAATGTCTTCAAATTAGATCAACGTGGGGTTGCAGAACATTATGAATGGACTCTGCCACTGAATCATGAGCTTTAAAACGATCAATTTTTAATTTTTTTTTTTTTTTTTTTTTTGAGACGGAGTCTCACTCTGTTGCCCAGGCTGGAATATAGTGGCACGATCTCGGCTCACTGCAAACTCTGCCTCCCGGGTTCACGCCATTCTCCTGCCTCAGCCTCCCGAGTAGCTGGGACCACAGGCGCCCGCCAGCATACCTGGCTAATTTTTTCTATTTTTTAGTAGAGACGGGGTTTCACCCAGTTAGCCAGGATGGTTTCAATCTCCTGACCTCGTGATCCGCCCGTCTTGGCCTCCCAATGTGCTGGGATTACAGGTGTGAGCCACCGTGCCCGGCAATTTTTAATTTTTAAAAATTTTATTTTAGTTATTTATTTTTTGAGACAGAGTCTCACTCTGTCGCCCAGACTGGAGTGCAGTGGCATGATCTCGGCTCACTGCAAGCTCTGCCCCCTAGGTTCACGCCATTCTCCTGCC